CACACACACACACCTATATGTTTTTCTTCCCTTCTTTTTTGTCACAGTCCACAGCCCCTCTAACGTTTCCAGGGAAGTAATAATGGCTCAGATTTTTCTAAGTGGGAAAATGGCTTTGTACATTTAAGGTAAAGATCATCAAGAGGTATATTAATTATTTTGACCCTAGTACTTTGGACAATAACGGAAGCATGATCTTCAGCTTTTGAACATATTCAAGTTCTTTTAGTCACTTCTGGTCATTTCTACAACACCAAGATGTGATGTGGGAGAAAGAACTCTGCACTGGTTTTCTCACAATTGGGAAGAAGAAAAAACTATTGAACATTATGAATGATAAATATGTTACATAAAATATATAAAATACAGAATACAATTCTAATATTTTGTGACAGTGTAAAAGCCTCATTTTCTTTATCAAAATATAAAGTGAATAAATAAAAACAAGTGACCTGTGCCCCACCCCACACCCAGCAGTACCTCTCTGCCTACCAGTGTCTACTAAGATCCCACTTTCTGATTCTTAGATGATGCCTTCTCTTGTGTCTTCACATGGCAGAAGGGCAAGGCAGCTCTTTGGGGCCTTTTTAATTAGGACACTGATTGCATTCATGAAGTCTCTGTCCTTGTGATCTAAACAACACTCAAAGGCCCTGCCTCCTAGAACCATAATATTAATAATGGCATCTTGACATGAATTTTAGGAGGACCCCTAACATTCAGACTATACCACCAACCCAATAAACTTGCAAAATTTAAATTGGGTAATGGACATGAAAAATCCAGCTTATATTAGAGATTCAAAAAATATTAGTTATCTTCTCTCTCCCAAATTGCAATTGTTTTGAAGTTTACTAGCTAGAATCCAGTGATAGCAGGTCTACAATTACATAGACTAGTAAGTACTGTTTACACAAGGAGGAAGCTGTGGTCATAGAGTCAAGATGCAGGTTAGCTTTGGTCTTGGAAAGACAGAGGAAAGGCCTCTGTGATCTTCCTCTCAGTGCTGTGGAGGCTTATGTGAGATCCCATGTGTGAAAATATTTTGCAAGTGGTTGTTTATAAATATTAGGCTCTTGGAAAACTAGAATAAACAGAAAGTACTGCATTAGTCCCTTTTTAGTAATGCAAATTCTAAGCCTTGGTTTATTATATTGGTGTTTAAAATATATCCCGAATTCACCTGCCACTCACCATCCCTGCTACCACCTCGGTCTATTCTATCATGTCCTTTGCTTAAGTTTGGTTTCTACAAGGGCAAGGATTTTGGCCATTTTCTTTTCTGCTATATTATCAGGGTTCAGAACAGTGTCTGATTCACTTATAGGCCCATGATAAGTATTAGCTGAATAACTGAACAAACAAAGGAGAGTGGATTTTAAAGAAAGTTTGCATAAAATTGTGAAAGAAAATTTTCTACATTAACCCTACATGCCACCCTCTTTTCAGCAGCCCTTTATATTTCAACAAAGACTAATTATGTCTTAATATTTGCAGTCAACTTCACGGGCACAAAATTTTCACAATTATCTTCTGCGTTTTAGTTTTATCTCTTTAGTTCTTTTTTAGTTCTGTGAGGAACTCAAAAGAGCCTATAGTCACCTTGACAGTATTAGGTTAATGACTGCAATGAGAGTTTATTCTTGAAGTATAATCCTTTTTTGCTTTATTTCTAGCACAGATAAAACTTAACTTTTGTGGTCTCTGAATTGATTCTCCACAAAAATATGGAAATGCCCTTTTAAAACTGAGCAGCTATTTTAGCTGGAGAGCATGTAGCTCATGATCAATAATTTCTTTAGGAAGGGCTATGGCTGTGGCTCAGTGATAGCACACTTGCCTGGCATGTGTGAGGCACTGGGTTCAATTCTCAGCACGACATATAAATTTAAAAGAAAGGTCTATTAAATATATATATATATATATATATATATATATATATATATATATATATATATATATATATATATATAAATTTCTTTAGGAATCAGAAAGTACTGAATTTATTTTATTACTATATGATTTGGACAATTTAACTAAGTTGTATTTATTTATCCATAAAATAAGGTTAATATTTTTACCACTGGAGTGTTTTATAAGAATTAGCTAAATTAAACCCATATGAAGAATAATCCTGAGTCCATATATTCACCTGTATTTTTTCTACTCTCACTAGCAGACTTTCCCCAGTTTCATCTTCTTAATTCATGCTGCAGAGTAAAACTACCTCTCAGACCTACCAAGAATAGCCAGCACCATGCTGTCTTTAAGAACCTCCATGGAGCCCGAGCACACAAAATAGATGGCCTGCAATGCATCCCCTTGGCGCAGCAGATACTCCCCCGGAGCACAGAAGGAGGTCTTGATGTGTAGAGACAGAGACCTGAGGCAGCCCCGGCTGGCACATTCAAACAGGGACAGCTGCAAGATTTCCTTGTTCAAGTGCATAGTGATGTCAGAACGCAGCTCATCTGGAAAGTCTTTCAGAAGCTGTCAGAGAAGATGGAGGAGGAAATCAATTTGGCTAAGTGAAGACTGACTGATGTACCTTAAAATACAAGAGGGATGTTCTTCTTACAGATTGGCTGACCAGAGTACAGAAGAGGAAATCTATGCATGTATGATCCTGGAGAGATTTTTCAGTGGCCATGACCCTTCACGGTTGGGTACTGAATAATGAGTGCATAATAAGTCTGGAGAAATAGCACAAATTAATTAAAGACCCCGTTAGGGAAACATATAACTAGCATGTAACTCGTTGTGACTTGTTTCTCCAGAGATTCCTATTCATGGCAGAAAAGATGGAGTTTGGACCTGTGGGTGTTTTCTCTGGTGTCATAATCAAATTAAGAAAGGAGAAACCAAAGTATTATCCCTTAATGTGTTGGTTTGGTTGGTGGGTTGGTGAAATGGTTGCCTGATATATAATACCTTTTTCCCCAGTGGTAGTCTATGTTATTTCTGGAAGTCTACAGATAACAGATATGTTGGATTTTGTTATTTTTTTTTATTCTAACAGTTGCTTTAGCTTGACTAATCTAATTGCCCAACATTACACCATTATGCTCTCATAAGAATTGGTTGCTTTAAAAAAGGAAAAATAAATCATTTGATCAACCAAAATGGCTTATTAATATAAAATACAGATCAGTCCAAAGTGGCACTGCGAATTTGTAAACCAAAGCAGATAGAAGAAGTGGATTGAGTTTCATGATTGATGAACCAAATAAAGAGATAAAGAAGTTGCTAAGTGTGTTTGTCACTTCTGCTACGTACATTACAGCATCTTACTTTTTTACCTTAGAATATGTGTTTTCTGCCTCAAAATGTCAACATGAGAGGTGAACATTACCTCATTTGAATCTATTCCGTTGTTGACTGACCAGGTGGTTTGAAAATACTCGAGCATTCTCTGCTTGAGCTGTTGGGGCAGGTGGTGAACACGGATAAAATCCTTCAGGTCCTTAGTTCTGGTGTGATAGAGAGACCATCGGGAATACATCCTCTGTATGATTGCTGTCACATTCCCAAACACCAAGGCGTGCATCAAGGCTGGAGAACAACATGGCATGTGAGGAGTGAGAAATGAGATAGAGGGCCCATCCTTGAAGCATAAATTTAGAGACTACGTATCTAGGATCAAAGCAAAGCATGCTTATGTGGCCATGTTGACACAACTATTTTACTAGAGGCATTTTGGTGCAACCACTTTATCACAGTGTGATTAGAGTAAAAACAAAAAATATACAGCAATATACAATATACAAAACAGGCTCCTTTGACATACTCAATCTGTTAGCTGCCATTTTGGTTATGACAAATTTTTATTTTGAACTCTATTCACAGAAATCTTATTTTAATAGTTATATATAGAATTATATGTAGTTTAATACTTATAACAAATTATCTTTAATAGTCTGATGCAATGTTATAAACTTATAGCTTAACAATTATTTTTAATATATAACATACATTTAAAAATCAATCTTTTTTTAACCAGCAAGCCTTTGTGGAAATTTTAGTCTCACCTCCCAGAGGTTCATCATTCAAAAAATTAGTTTTAGAATATGATACATTTATATTTCTGCAAAGACTGAGGACGCTATTAGAAACGTGAATGGGGATTTGTCGAATAGTCTAAAGCTGAGTGTGGCTCCAGTCCTCAACCACACCTCAGTTTTGCATTGACTTTGATTTTAAGTGAAATAGCAGAAAAATTTCAGACAATTCAAGACACAAATTTTATGTGTGGTGATGCAGAAGAAACAGCACAATACATAGATGCAGGAGTCCTGTTCCCGCAAGGTTTGCCAGTCAGATAGTATTTAACTCTGCTTTCTCAAAACTACCACCAGAGTGAAATGAGAGGGAGGTCTTTGTTGGCCAGAATTCAAGGGAGGATGGGGGCAGAATAGGAATTTCTTTTGGAGAAAGGTGGAATGAGAGGATGGACCTCATTTTCCAGGAATTGTCTATTTGGGGAACAATGAGGAACGTGAAGCTCAGAAGAGAGGACAGGACTTTGCACTCGACAGTCATTAGAAGAATGGAAGTGTACAATGCCAGCAGATAACCTAACCCGGCTTGGATTTACCTAGGCCTCTGAAACTAAAGGAACGTGGAAAGCCAGGTGTAACTATATTTATGGGCACATCATTCTAAGTGATACTCAGATTTTAGCCTTGGGAAAGAATTACTAACTAATTATCTATTTCAGCAGTTTTTGGTTAAAAAAAAGAAAGGACTGAAATTCTAAAGTTTTATCCATTAGAATCTATCAAAATATCCCAGTGTATAAATATCAATGTTCAAGGAGCTATGTTAAAATGTTCTCAGTACCAAAGTAAATATATTAGTACAAATGTGTCAATATGTTATTACATTGATCCTCCTGAATATCCCGGTTCAAGTTCTTTTTTTCCTCTATATACCAGAAATTAACAATCACTAGCATACTAATTTCATTTTAATCTAACACTGGAATTAAAATCCTTTACCAGGTTAAAATCCTCTACCAGGTATATTATAATTTCTCTGTAAAATAATTGTCACCATGTCTAGAAAATTAATCTTTAATAACAAGAACTCAGTATTTGGGAAAAGTTACTAAAATATTGTTAAGTTTTTGGAGACAGCATATTCTGGCAAAGTGAATATGAACTTCAGAATCAGACGGGTGTATATTTGAATTCTGACTTTCCCTCTTCCAGACTGTGTAAAATTGTTAAGTCTCATAATTTCTTTTTTTTTTTTTAGAGAGAGAGAGAGAGAGAGAGAGAGAGAGATAATTTTTTTAATATTTATTTTTCAGTTTTGGGTGAACACAACATCTTTATTTTATTTTATGTGGTGCTGAGGATCGAATCCAGCACCCCGCGCATGCTAGGCGAGCGCGTTACTGCTTGAGCCACATCCCTAGCCCTAAGTTTCATAATTTCTTTACATGGACTTTTTTCCTTTATATGTTAAATAGGTACACATTTCTCATAGGGCTCTTTTAAGATATAAAGAGTACACAAACGTGTGTGTATATGTGTATACTCTTTAAATATGTGTGTATATACGTATGTATATACAGTATGTGTGTGGAAAACAATGGTTGTTCAATTTATATTGATTTTTCCTCCTTCAAAGTCTAAAAAGGTATCATGAATGTTCAGCATGCTCAATGGAGTAAGATTTGGGGAAATGTACTTGGGTTTATGGTTTTCCTTAAATATCTTAAATAGTTAAGAGTGGCTCTTGGTGGAAATCTCTTCTTGATCAAGGGAATTCAAGAAATATTTGGCAGCTGTCTGCTACACGCAAATTCATGTAAGAATGTATTTTTTCTAAATGTTCAAAATTGAAATGTCTCCCAATGGGTCAAAAACATTCCAAGGAAAATGTGCATCTCTTAACAACTTAATGCTGCATGGTTCTTTGTGGATTCTAAATAGAGTTTCATTCTTCTGTATGGTTTTACAGGCACAACAGTTCCGATGCTTAAATATTTTATTTGGAAGAGAAGATCTCTATTTATGATAAATACTCACTAAAGAAAAGAACTGACTCTGCTCAAGTCAAAGAAATTAAATACTGATTGCAGGCTCTGTTAAAATGCTTATGGGCTAAGTGTTTGGAAACCCTACCATTTTTAAGAGTATGTAATAGTCTTTTCATGGAGATTAAACTGAGTACAGAGAACAATTTTATTTCATTTGTTTTAACACTGGTTTCCTTAATTATGTGTATGATTTTAACTTTGCTTTGCTTAATTATAATGTGTAAAGCACTAAAAGTAAGAGAAGTAATATGTTCAGATCATTTAGCATCCTAATTGTACATTATCAATAAAATGAATTACTGGGATTAATTGTAGCATTCATAAGCGTTGTTGGAAAGTACTCGTCTATGTCTGACTCACCATAATTTCAAAGTCTCATTTCAGCATAGGAAACTACTGCTGATTTAAGGAGTTTAAAAAAAAAAGGAAGAAAGGAAACCTTGGCTCTCATAATTTCTCATTTTCTGAAGTTATTATGGCCTTTCTGTCACTGATTTTCATGGCACCCTAGCAAAGAGTATGTGTAACTGTCCAGACCAATTATTCCATCTGCTATGAAAGTTTGACTCAAGAACTTCTATATCCAGGTCAGTTTGGAAATGATCCCTCTTCTCCATTCCTAGCAAATTTGATGTATCTAATTCTTGAGTGCTAGACCTGCTGAGAGTGTGTGGGAGGCTCTTTGTGGTGTGTGTGTGTGTGTGTGGCGTGCTCATGTGTGTAGGAGTTTTGCATAAAATGCATTTTGTAAAATCTCATCTCAGAATCAGGTCTTTGAAAGGAACTTAATTGAGATCTAAGAAGAAACTAAGCAGGTTTCAAATACAAAGAAGCACCTCCATAGGACAGCTTGGCTTTCACTTTCTCGTTCCTCTTCCATTTCCCTTCCCTGTTTCCTTCCCTGGAGTCTGGGTAATGCTGCTCTCTGGTGTATAACATCGTTGCTGATTCCTTTAGCCAACTGTTTGTCAGTGGCTTTGAAGTCTACATATGGGCTGTTTTCTCCTCATGAAAAAGGAGACTGGAACTTAGAATTTGGTAAAACTTAACAGTCTTCCTCCTTTGTCCCATCTCCTCCTTGCCCTGGAATTTTCCATTCTTTGTTACAAGTATATGGGTTGTGGATAGCAGATGGTAGAGGAACCAAAGTGAGAAAGATTTCCTAGATGATGAATTTAAATGGCAGGGTAAGACATTTTAAGAATGGCCTGAATTTATGAACATAATAGCTCATATGAGCGCAATAAAATTATGTCAGGGTGTACATATAGGTGGGTAGGTCCAAAAGAAGCCTTGACTGCTTCATGACAATAATGTTCATTTATTTGTATTTATATTTACTTACATATTTGTATTTTTTTTTCAGTACAGGGGATCAAACTCAAAACCTCAAGCATGCATTCCACCCTTGAGCTACACACCCAGACAATAATGTCCATTTAAATTTAACATGTAGTACTGAGGACTGAATTAAGGCCAATTATATGCCATGCTTGTACATGTAGGTTACAATGAACCCAATATTATGTATAACTAAAAATGAACTAATAAAAAAAAAGAAAGATGAAGAAAAATGTACATGTTATCAGTGGTGAGACATCTGGACTGGAAAGCTTTATCAAAACTCCAAGGAAGAGGTGACGGTTCCATCAATTGGGACCAACTCATGAGATGAGTTATTATAGGCTGTCACTACTAAAGTATGACAAAGGAACTTTTAGAGACATGAAAAAATATTCTCCGTAGATTTTTGTCTGGCTTCAAAAAGGATACGTGTAGATATGTAAAAATATTTTAGAAAAATAGGACTAGATATGTATAAGAAGACTAGAAAAGTTATCTTTTGGTGATAGGATTATGAAAAATTAATAATCTTCTATCTTCAGTAGTCTTCTCAAAGTGCATTGTATAGGAAAAATGGAAAAGCAGAAAAAGAATGTTATCTGCTTAAATTCCTATTTCCAATACTGAGTGGGAACTCCCTGAAGGAAAGTATACTGTGTTAGTCATTTTGTTTCCCAAGCATCTAATACAGTCAGCATAATTTAAGTGGACCATAAATATTTATGGAACTACAATAAACCTTTTGTAACTTGATGTTATCTTTAAATTTTTTTTGTCACTGTAAGCAAAGTGGCTTAGAAAATTTATATTGAACAGTTCAGCTTCACATCCATCTCTCCACCCTCTTCCTACTTCTTAAAGGAAATTTCTTTTTAAATGATTTCTCCTAGGTCCACTCGTGGTTATAGCTACATTTTAGGTAATATAATTTTACTTCTGTTGCTTGACTCATCCTTGTTAAGTTGATTCTGAAAACAACCTGATATGGAAGAAAAGAACTAGGCTCATGATTACTTAGCATCTCATCTCTCACTTAATGGTTGTATTATTTTTAGCTCATCTATTATAATTTTATAAGGTAAAACTAGTATCAAAGGTACATGTAGAGAATGCCACACAAATACTTAATGTATACCACATTGAGATTTCTCAAAGTGAACAA